GCTTGCAGCATTCGTTATTCAAAATAGAATTCAGAGCTGGGTGTGGTGGCCTTATAATGCAAGCACTCGAGAGGCAGAGGCAGGCGGATCTCTGTGAGTTTGAGCCCAGCCTGCTCTACATAGTGAGCTCCAGGACACTCAGAGCTATGTAGGGAGATCCTGTCTAGAAGAAAACAAGCAAACGACAAAAGCCTGCAGCTTTAGTGGTGGGCCGTGCTGATATGAAACACAAGTGCTTTTGTGTTTAGAAGTAGCCCTCATCTCTAGCAGGCCCTGCCACATATGTGCAAATGTTTCAAAACCCAAACCACTTTTGCTCTCCGGTATTTGGGAGTACTCAACTGGTAGAACAATCTGGGTCAGAAGAGGGCCAGGCAAAGCAAGGTACTTCAGGGTATTAAAAAAAATCCAGACACCTTGGGTGGTGGCGGCGCACACCTTTTGTCCTACCACTCAGGAGGCAGAGGCAAGTGAATCTCTGAGTTTGAGGCCAGCCTGGTCTAAGGAGCAAATTCCAGTACAGCCAAAGCTATACATAGAAACCCTGTCTTGTAAACAAACAAACAAACAAACAAAAAATCCCCCTAAAACCCCAAACCGAAAACCAAAGCCAAACAAACAAACAAAAAGCCTGGACTCAGTGGACACACACACACACACACACACACACACACACACACACACACACACACACACACACACTCGGCTTGAAGCTGGAAGGGAGAGAGAGGGAGGCCCAAGGGTAGTTGGGCGTGGTTTGATATGATTAAGAAGCTTTGCATGAATCTGTGAAATTCTCAAAGATTGAAAAAAGAAAATGAACTTTAAAATAATAGTTTTTTAAAAGGACGACTAACGGGCTGGAGAGGGTGGCTCAGAAGGACAGGCGTTTGGACCCCAGGTCCCCCAGGACATCTTCAGTGTGCCTTACTCCAGCTCTTGGGGAGGCAGAGACAAGAGCACCATGGGGTTTTCTGGCTTTCAAACTAGCTGAAAGAAATTGAGTCCAGGTTCAGGAGAGACCCCGCCTCAAAGGAAGAGGAGGCAAGTGTCAGGAGAGGACACCTGGTCTTTTGGGGAGCGTGAACACGCACAGGTGTAGCTACAAACACGTGCACACACGCATACCTGCACCCACACAAATAAACCGATCGCTAAAACAAAAAGACGAACCAGGTAGATAAATATTATTCCCTTTAATTAAAACCAGATTTCCCTTTGGGGGGGGACCATCTGTTGTCTTCTCAGTGAAGAGATTTTCACGAGGCTCCCCTTACTTCCCAGTTACAGGACTGCCCATGTGACTGAGGTCTGGCTAATCAGTGTGCTCTATTCTCCTGCAGAGTTTGGTTTGGGGATGGGGCATATGGCTTAAGTCAGTCCAGAAAAAAATTTGTTTTTTTTTCTCCCCTGAAATTCTTTTCACTGGGGTGGTCAGCCTGGAGCTGCTGGTGTTTCTAGGCTGCCACATAAACTAGGCTTCCATTGAAGAAAGGTTATCCAGGGAGTCAGGTGTCTAACACCTCTCAACCCTGGATTCATCTTTGCCTGGTTTTGTTGCCCTGTGACCTTAACAGGGAATAATAAAATCTCTCTCCCCTTTACACTGGCTTGAGTGGCATTTGTCACATGTCATCCATGTCCAGGCACCTATGTAATTATCAGTCAACAGGGGGCCACATTCTGGCTAGGGAGTTGTGGTGGATTGAATGATAGATGTTACCTACCTGCTCAGGCATTCGAACACTTAGTTCCCAGGTGATGATGCTGTCTGTGGAGGTCTAGGGGGTGTGACCTTGCTGGAGGATTTGCATTACTATGGGTGGGCTTTGAGGTTAAAAACCTGGGTTCCCTTCCAGCTCGCTTTCTCTCTGCTTGGTGTTCTGGGTTGAGAATGTGAGCACTCAGCTTTTTCCGGCTGTAACACCCACCCCTTGCGGCCATGCGTTCCCACCATGTTGGATTCATCATCCGTCAGGAACCATAAGCTCAATAAACCTTTCCTTCCTGAAGGTGCCTCGGCCATTGGTGTTTTATCGTAATAGAAAAGATAACTAGTCCAGGAGGCTTGAGTGGAATGGGCTAAGTTTCTGGGAAAGATTTGCCTCCTCTCTGAAAAAAAAAAAGATTAAAGACAGAATCATTGCCCTACTCAGTTTCCTGCAGATGAATGTCTAGCGGGGTGAGCGGTGGTGAGGTTACCATGAAGAGAGTCACAGGGCCGTCTCCTAACCCCTGGCCCAACACTACTGTCCTTGACTTCTGGGCGACCCAAATCATTGTAATTTATTTCTTTGAAATCCCAGTTTTAAAAATCAGGGTCTCGAGCTTCTCACGATGGGTTTGTACAGAGTGGCTGCTGCAGGCTTCAGCTGGCCCAGAGGCAGCACACGGGGCCACGGGGAAAGCGGCAAACGAGGCACAAGTTGGACATTTTCTCTGGGTTGCAGGCAGCATATTTCTGGGCCCACAGTGGACACTAAGAGAAGTGTTTGCTTGTTGTTTGTTTTGGTTTTATGAGGCAAGAGCCCGTGTAGCTTAGGCAGGGCCGCGACTCTGTAGCCAAGGGTGACCTTAAACTTCTGCTCCTTTGCTTTTACCTTCCAGGTTTTTAAGATTTATTTATATAGTTAGATTTACTTATTTATATTGTGTGTATGTTTGCCCGGCAAACAAGCATGGGCAGTATGTGCATTCCTGGTGCCCACGAGGCCAGGAGAAGGCATCAGTCGCATATAGCTGAGTTACCACGTGGGAGCTGGGGACTGAACCCAGGTCCTCTGCAAGAGCAGCAAGTGCTTGGAGTCACTGAGCCATTTCTCCAGACTTCATGCTTTTTAAAGGTTATTATACTTTTCTCTGTGAGTTCTTTTGTAAGCCTACCCTAAGTGACACTATTCCAGTAGTCACTTACACCAGCACTATTCAACTAGGGGTGACTTTGGCTGTCAGAGAACATGTGGAATTGTCTAGGGGTATTTTGGTCTCACCTGAGAAGCTGCTGGTACTGGATTCTAGTGGAAAGAGACTAGGAAAGACGCTAAACATCCCAAGACATATAGGATGGAGCCATGACAGAGAATTATCCAGACAAATGTCAGTAGTGGCAAAGTTGAGGAACACACACACACACACACACACACACACACACACACACACACACACACACACACACACCTTGGAGACAAGTACATCATTATAAAGCTGGCTGTCCTAGTGTCCCCGAATCACTATGTCACCATCAAGGCTAAGATCACTCCATGGTGCTGAGGCTTTCCTCAACAGGATTCTTAAAGCCCCTTCCTCTTCAAAAACGCAGAGGAGGCAAAACTCAGAGGAGGCAAGTCGGAGTCTGCTGGTCATTTCTCTTATTGGTTAAGGATAAGAGAGAAACGTCTTCAGAAACAAAACACTGTCTTTGGGAAGAAAAGAGATGCCCACGATTGCAATTGTGTACGCCCACGTGACCATGACACATTCCCAGGACCGTAAATGGAAGGGTTTTGAGACAGAATATGTCCTGGAGTGATAGGACCCCCTCACGACGCCACACACACTTTGAGTATGCTTTGGAATTTCTGAAAGTCACAAGGAGCCTGCTGAAAAAGTCCATGGACTGGAAGAGATAGGCCAGGTGAAGGAAGCATGGAGGGTAACTACTTCTAGGAGGTGATCATCCACGGAAGTCAACGTCATTAATGAGTCAAAGCAAAGACTCGGATTAAGTGTTCTTTGGCCAAGGTTACCTTTTCTCATCTTCTAATTTGAATTCACAAATGAGAATCCCTGCCTCACAACCCCTTGACCTCACACCCAACTGCTATTGGCAGGTGGGGTACCTTCTCTAGGGACACCTGTCTCACACATTCAACACCAATGGTGTTTAAGGAGATGGTGTGGGTAGTAGGGTTGGGGACCTGACAGGCAACTCAGAAGAGGTGGGGTGCGTGTGTGCGGGGAGGGGGTGGGATGCGTGTGTGTGGTCTGGGTGGTGTGTGTGTGTGTGTGTGTGTGTGTGTGTGTGCCGGAAGAGGGGGTGGTGTGTGTGTGTGCAGAGAGGGGGTGGTGTGTGTGTGGGGAGGGGGTGGTGTGTGTGTGGGGAGGGGGTGGTGTGTGTGTGTGGGGAGGGGGTGGGGTGTGTGGGGGAGGGGGTGGGGTGTGTGTGTGTGTGTGGAGGGGGTGGGGTGTGTGTGTGGGGGGAGGGGGTGGTGTGTGTGTGTGTGTGGGGGGTGTGTGTGGGGAGGGGGTGGGGTATGTGTGTGTGGGTGTGTGTGTGTGTACCAAACCCACACCTTGGTGGCTCTCTACAAAGGCTTGATTCCCTTCGTGAGTGTGATCCACCAAGCCGTAATCAAGGGTTAATTTCACAGCTCACCGCTTCATCTAGCATAATATCCATTGAGACTAATTAAACGTGTCTAATAGTGTGAGCGTCTTTGTCTCTGTCCTCCCCTCTTTGTGTTACACCCTTCGCATCCCGTCTCCACAACCACACGCCATCACACTCGACTTGACAAGCCGAGTTCCATCCCTAAAATTAAAACATTCCTGACCTATCTGCAATGACAAGCCAGGCAAGCTTCACGGAGCTCCGGCCCATGAAGGGAGCTGACACATTTGTTTTTAATTTCAAAAGAGTAGAAAGTGAAGATCTGACCCCGTCAATCAAGCCCTGTGACAAGTTTAATCATTGGTGCCCCACAAAAATCACGGCTAAATAGGAATGCAAATACTGTATCACAGGGCTCTTATATATGCTAATCAGGGAGAAGTAATCAACTGACAATTTCACCGATCTCCTTTCTGAAGAAGTCACTCAGCGCTCTGTCTCTGGGCTACAAAGGGGAGGTGGGGACGGGGGGAGACAAAGGGGAGTCAGTAGGTTCTTCATCCCCAACCAGCAACCTTTCTTTTATTTCTCCTTCTAGGACGCTTTCTCTTTTAAAGAGGGAACTCACGCTTTTGATCGCCCCCCCCCCCCCCCCTTGAACTTTAAAGCA